AAAAAAAACAAATGTAATAACTTGTAGAATATATTACATGTTCATCGTGAAAGACAATCTCCATGGAATCTCCACCTTTCGCCCATTTAGGAACGAAGTAAACCCGAATAGCCCTCAACATGAGAATCCAAGAATTCTTATCGCGGTTGAGTTCCGCAATTGGAGTGAACATTGTCATGGACCTGTTTTCGGAATTTTGAGCCATATTTGGGTATATATGAAGCTTACACCGTACGTTAATATAAGTGGTTAGAATGGGAAGAGGTGTGGTCTTGGATGGAAAGAGGTGTATATATATAATTTGGGAAAAGCAAGTAAGTTTAAGCACATTAAATGCTTGGATTTTGTAAATCTAACCATTAAATTGATAAGATTTAAAGCATTGATATGACACACTTCCACATAAACTATTATTACATTGCTTTATGGAGCTCCACACCTAGCCGTCAAACGCAACCCAAGAAACTGCCAGCATGCCTGCCCAATCCAGCTCCAATGTCGGCCCAAGCCCAGCAGCAAATCCGGCCCAATCAATGGTTGTGGAATTGGCGGGAACACTATTCATAAGAGTTTCTTACCATTAGCATTGTATATAGGAGGATTAATTCATGAGAAAGAGAACATTGGTACGTAAAACCACCGTTGGTTGGGAGAGCGCCACGAGAAACAGAACGCTAACTGCTAATCCAAAAAGCTACCAACGATTAATTAAACGCTTCTGCTCATGCTCCGCCCTCCCATCTCTGCGACGCCGCGATCCGCCGCGCTCAATTTCACGAATCGGAAGCTACCGGCATTCTCCCTCCTCACTCGCAACTTCCTCGCAAACATGTCGTCATCCAGATCGGCGGCGGCGTACCAGGTTCCGGGGCTGAGTCGGGAGGACATGGAGAGAGCGACGGCGGAGGAGATCATTCCGAGGTACAGCTCGTCAGCGAAGGATGCCGCCGGTAGAGGAAAAGGGGTGGCGATTGTCTGGTTCCGGAATGATTTGAGGGTTTTGGACAATGAGGCTCTGTACAAAGCTTGGGTTTCTTCCGATTCCGTGTTGCCGGTCTACTGCGTGGATCCCAGGCTATTCTCGACCACTCATTACTTTGGTTTCCCCAAAACCGGAGGTGATTTTAGCTCTCAATCAACTCTCATTTCCTTTGATACTCTCTTTGTTCTCAGTGCTCACTGTAACAATGCTATATATATCAGTTGAAACTTTAATCTCTATTTGAATCTAAATGTAGTGTATTTTTATCATAGCAATTTTATTAGAAGTTTAGTGCATATTTATGCTTATCTTCCATCCTCTCCAAGGGAGCCAGCCAAAGATTCACTGTTTTTTGGCTTTGGGTGTGATGGAATAAAGCAAAATGGTTCTTAGAACTGTCTGCGCTTCTTTTTTAATTGTGAAGTAACAGTCAGTCAAAGCAACTTTCAACGCTCGTCATGGGTCATCCGGAAACAGCCACTCTATGTTTTAACCATAGGGCGTACATCCGACCCCCCTACCTCGCAATGGGCGGGAGCCTTTGAGGCACTGGGGCAAAGTTGTTGTTGTGCATATTTGTGCTTCATTTATGGTTATATACGGAATATATTTATGAGTTTCATCGGCTAATTGTACTACTTTGAGGTGAATAGATTTGAAAAGGTGCTACATAAGATCCCTCCAGGATGTCTTGGTTTTGATGTTGTAAGAATGGATTTACCATCAGTAAGAACTATAATGTGTTTATATGAATTTGGAAGTAAAAAATTTGGCCAAATATTTTATAAGAGCATTCTTTTTTGGCAGCCTTGAGGGCTCAATTCATCATACAGTCATTGGCTGATTTGAAGAGGAATTTAATGAAACGGGGTCTTAACCTATTCATTCAGCACGGGGAACCTGAGGAGATTCTACCCTCACTTGCAAAGACCTATAATGCTCACACAGTTAAAGCATCTTTGTACTTATTATTTTGGTGTGTCTGTTTATGGCAATTCTTTGTTCAAAATGTTCCTTTATTTATGTAAAAAATGCCCGTTCTTACTGTGGCAGGTTTATGCCCAAAAGGGAACATGCAGTGAGGAGCTGAAGGTTGAAAGGGCAGTGTCCAAGAACTTGGGAAATGTCATACGACCATGTTCGTATTCTAAGAATGTTACTACTCCTACCAGGTTAGAACTTCTATGGGGTTGCAGTATGTACCATATTGACGACCTTCCGTTCAACAGTAAGGACTTACCAGACGTATATACCCAATTCCGTAAGGTACTTGTCCTTCTTTGCAGTATGCTTTAGCGAACATTTTCAATGTGAGGAAAGGCTTGTAACATCCAGGCAGGTTGTGATTACAGTCTGTTGAATCCAAATCGATAATTCGGAATTGCATAAAGATTCCTGCATCACTTGGTCCTTCTCCCAATATTCTAGAGTGGGGATCCATTCCTGAAGTGGCCGATCTTGGGCTTCATCCAGCCGAGGTAGGTTCTTAATAATATTGATGAGAAGAACCAATGTTTTCTTTAGAGTTTGTTTGGATGATAGGTTTTGGAAGGCTCGGTATATAGGCTTGATATATATCGTTGTAAATAGAATGTTTCTTAAAATGCATAAAAGGTGATTGAAATGCCTTACGAACACATATCAATCAATATATTTTTCAATAAAATCTCATAGACCCACATATATCAAGATATAGACTAAGTTCTCCAAACCCACCCATCCAAATATACCTTTGGCACATACGATGCCCGCGTCGCTCAGATCCAATTTTACAGGTATCCAAAGGGATGAAGTTTATGGGTGGTGAAATTGCAGCTCTCGCCAGAGTACATGAGTATTTTTGGAAGAAGGCATGGGAATTTATCTTTTTTCTATGTTTGGTTCCTAGAAGATTTAAGTAATTGATAATATGTCCCTTGAAGAAGTTATATCTATCATAGTATATGTAATAATTGTATCTATCCTCTTAATCAAAATAGAATTTGATTGTATTTGGCATGCTTTTTAATATGTTGTGGCTAGAATGAAACATTTAAATATTTTTATATGATTTTCGCAACAGGATTTTCTAAAAATGTATAAAGAAACCAGAAATGGAATGCTAGGACCTGATTATTCAACTAAGTTCTCTCCTTGGCTTGCTACCGGATGCCTCTCTCCTCGCCTAATTCATGCTGAAGTACAAAAAAGATTCTTGTCTTTTAAATGATACGCCAAATTATGATAATTGAGTTCCAATAATTTCCTTTGCTTTCTGAATCAAACCCCTACACTTTTACGGTGATAGGACACTCATCTTTGGTAAAATTTCAATTTGAATTTTCAAGGTCAGGAGATATGAGAAGGAAAGACTATCAAATGCGTCAACATATTGGTATCAAATAGCCTATTCTCTTCCTCCTATTTGTCAAGTTTTTGCATGACGACTCTATCTTGTGAAGAGAATGATCCAGAGATTTGGGACATGACCTTTTTGCATTACTCTAAAACTTTAATCTATTTACCATTGCTAAAAGATATTTCTATCCCCAGGGTTTTATTTGAGCTGATGTGGAGGGATTACTTTATATTTCTCTCAATAAAAGTGGGTAATTCACTTTTCCATCCAGGTAAAACGTGTTGTTATTTTTATTTTCCTACATGTATATGTGAACATTACTATGTTGACTCATAGATAGCAGGGACACTTGCTGAACACTTACACTAACTTTGTTTTGAAACGTATGGCTCAAAGCTCTTCATACTCTTCTGGTTTCAACCCATCTGCTCCTGCTAAATAATCATTCATGATGCGTTTCTATTACCAAGTTTACTGAATTACCACAATCTTATTCGTAGCTCCTCCTGTATTTGCATTAGGTGGGCCTCGTAATTTAACCTACAATTGGAGCAAAGACCAGAGGTTGTTTGAAGCTTGGAAAAATGGTCAGACTGGGTACACTCTCTACCCACACGCTGAATAGACACCTTTTTTCAGCTATCCAGCACTCCAATTGTATATCCCATTGTTTCAATTTCTTCTCGCGTTTCTTCGCTTCCAACATCTCTCCTTTTCGTTTTCTATTCACCCAAATAAGAACAGTTTAACAAGAAAGTTTCAACAGTCTTGCAATGAGATATGACTAAAACAACCATCTTAACTCATCTCCATCTCATGATAAGAAGGTTTTGAATTAGTCTTTTTGTTCCTTTATAAGAAGGTTGTGGCTTGAAAAGGCACAGTGTCAAACTGACACCTTTGTTTGCATGATTTATACTCTTAACTACTTTTAGGAAATTAATTAATTAATTGACATTAGATATTTAATGATACTGATCACAGCTACTTGGTGGCGGCGGCGTTGTATGTCTAATTCAATTTGCACAACCTAAACATCAGGTACCCTCTGATTGATGCCAATATGAAAGAACTTCTTACTACCGGATTCATGTCAAATCGAGGACGTCAGGTACTTTTCACTCTAGTTAGCTAGTAAATAAGGGTATTAATTGAAACAACCTTTATGAAACAATTCCTGTCCTTAATTTTAACAAAATTAGGAGCATCATATTCCTGCTGAACAGCCAATATGTCCGGTGTACTATGGAACTCTCTGACATGTAATTTCATGTTGACAGATTGTTTGTTCTTTTCTTGTTCGAGATATGGGCATTGACTGGAGGATGGGGGCTGAATGGTTTGAGACATGCCTCTTGGATTATGATCCATGCTCCAATTATGGTAATTGGACTTACGGTGCAGGTGATTAACCTCTTTTTACACCACCATGATATAGTTACCTCTTTTTCTTCTTCTCAAAATGAAGTTATCGAGTGGTCATCCTTCACCTTCTTCGGGAGAGCTGATTCTTCCATAGAGTTCATATTAACAACTTCCTCGTGAACCCAATGAGTTGATATTAAAAACTTCATCGTGAATCTGTTAGCAACTTCCGCCGTTTCCTAGATTTGTGACATATATAGTCTATATTTACTCCAGGTTCTATATAAAGTCCATACTTAATTATTTTCTCCCCTCAATCCCCAAATGAAAGTTACACTTTCACTTCACGGAGGTTAAGAAAAGTGTAAAGTGTGGTTGAAATTTGTATAGATGAAACTTGAAAGAGAAATAATGTGAGCCACATATTTATTTCTTTAATACGAATGAAAGTAAAGAAGCGTAAAATTTATTTTGGGAGTTGGGACAGCCCAAAAAGAAAAAAGTAACTTTCTTTTGGTAACATCTTTTACCTCTTGGTACGAACTCCCGGCATAGAAATCTCTTAAATGTCAACATGTCAAAAATGAGGTTTAAATTGAAGAACATTATGCTTACAAAGTGGTTTCTTGAGAATATATATATATATATATATATATATATATATATATATATATATATATATATATATATATATATATATATATATATATATATATATATATATATATATATATATATATATATATATATATATATATATATATATATATATATATATATATATATATATATATCCTTCCCCTGAGGCTACACTTGCGATTTTAATTCAATCTTCCGATTCATTTTTTTTAAATTTGTTTTATCCCCACTCAGGTGTTGGCAATGACCCAAGAGAGGATCGTTATTTCAGCATTCCAAAGCAAGTAAGTGTGCCTGAAATGTTATAGCTATCTTTGTGTGTGGTAATATCAGTTTTTGCTCTAATAATACCCAAAGTTTTGAACTTTATGTATCTAATTCTCAAGGAAATTGTATAATAGAAAACGAAAAATGTAGAATGGAAATGGTCTCTTAATCAATAAAATATTTATCTTTGGTTCATTCAATCCATAAAGGTATCTTTCTTTGGCATAACAAAGCACCCAGTTGATTGATGAGTGAGGGCCGCTCAACAACCGGCAGGTCATGGGTTCGAATCACACGGATGGGAAGTGTGGAAACATATGGATGGGGGATTTGAGAAAAGGAAAATTGACACTTCCCTAAGAAAAAGTCCTTTGATTATTTTTGTTCTAAGAGAATTGACACTTTCCAAGGCTAAACTAGCTCCAAACATGTACTCATTCATACTAGAAATGTTGCATAATATGCACCAATCCTCTTAACTAGTCTCAAATGCAAAAGGAATGTGAGCACACCTATAATAAATAAGACTCGTGAAGTATCTCCACTGTTTATGGTATATAGTATATGGCCATCTTGGCTTGAGTCACATGCTATTAAATGAGGTACAAGTCATTGCAAAGTTGTGTTTCATTTGGGTCACCATCATCATCATCATCCTCATAACCATCACCATCATCATAACCATCACCACCATCATCATTTTCATCATCATCATCATCATCATCATCTTCATCATTATGGTGATGTTTTCAGGCACAAAACTATGATCCAGAAGGGGAGTTTGTAGCTTACTGGTGTCCGGAGCTACGAGCACTCCCAAAAGAGAGGAGACATTCCCCCGGGCTATCGTACATCAAGCCAATTGTTCGTCTCAAACATGGACACACCGGTCGATCCAATGATACATCACGCTCTCCGGCCGCGAGAAGAATGGGGCAGGAGGAGAGGAGGAACAGATGGAAGGGTCATTAGTAAACTAACTCTATATGGATCATAACTTCAGTTTGGATGGGATATCAGAATGGTATTTGAACACATGCTCATTGGGGTTTTCAGAAATTGTGTGCATTTTATTTACTTTGTGGTCCTTTTGGAAATATGTACAATGCCTTTTGGAAACAGATATCTAGAAAATAAATTCATTTTCTAGTATTTGGTTGAAAGTCTGAAAAATGAAAAAAAAACTACTTTTTTTTGTGATTCCGAGTAATACGTACGGAGTATAATATTAAGAGTAATTTACTTAAATAGGACTAAAACATAATGACTTTTCCAATATAGGACCATATGTTTTTATTTCCTAATGTAGGACTTTTGGTCATTATGAATTAGTCATTATTCAACTAAATGTCTATCATTACTGGACATTATTCCTCCCACAAGGTCATTATTAAGTCCTATTTAGAGAATAAAAAAGTTTAAGTCCTAGATTAGGGAACTCATTATGTTTTAGTCCTATTTAGTGCAAATTTTACTAATATTAAAACGTGGTGAATTGAGTTTGAATCTAAGTAGAGGAAAGGTGACAGTTGTCTTCCTTCAAAAAATGAGAATAATTCTTCCAAATAACATCTTCTATTTCTATTGACTTCCAAAATCATTTTTCATCAACTTCTATTTCTCAGACGAACCCAACACTGAAAAATGAGAAGTGCCCCAAAAACAAAGTGGGAACCGTCAATTTTACGAACGGAGTACCGGAAATGCCCCAAAAACGCAGTGGCACCGTTCTCCGGTAGCACTAGAACCGGACCGATGAAGAAGCCATGCAACGTACTATTCCCTCCATCTCAATTTGATTCGCCTATATGGTATACATGTTTGTCTGAAGTTGTTTACAATGTAGAATTAAAAAATAAACTTTACACATTAAAAAACAACATATAAAATTTATGAAACAAGAGATGACATGACTATATTATTTTATCAAATGAGTAAGAAAAATAAAAAAAATGTGAATAAAATTTAACCCTGAACTGATAACTTAATTTGGAGTGAGAGGAGTTTAGATCAAAATGCCTCATACCATCTTTATCTCAGACAATTCATTTCTATAATTTTGTGCAAAAAGATTGTTGCTACTCATGACAACAATTGCACCGTGTTTGGTTAAACAATAAATAAAAGTCATAAAAATATTTTAATTTTGTTAAATACGTCCCTAATCAATCCAATTTCTTCCAAAAGAAATGCACATTGATTTTTTTTTTCGTTTCTAAGTAGCAAAATTTTAAACTAGCATTAAGAGAAACACCCATCTGCAAGTGTATGAGCCCAGTTTTGTCACACTTGAATAACATGGAGAACACTTCAATATTCCAAGTTAAAATGGGAAAAGAACAACGGCATAGTTGCCATATACTTTCACTACTTTCACAAACTTCTCCAGAAATATACACACCGGGTGTCGTTTTTTCCAAGGAAAACCGATTGTGTCGCATTATCAGAACGCAAAATTTGCAACTTCTTCGTCGTCGTCACTTCTGATGTCATCATCCTCGTCATCGTTGTCCTCGTTGAGTCTGTCAAAATCCTCATCCACGTCATCATCCTCGTCATCGTCCGCGTCTTCCATCATGGCAGCCCCACTTTTGGCTTGTTTGCCCTTCAAACCAGTGTTCAAGACCACAGTCCCTCCCCTGGAATTCTCCATGTCGCTCCTCAGCTTCTCCATGTTCTCCCGCCTGCGCTCTTCGTCCAAACGTTGCTTCTCGGCCCGCCTCTTGTCAAGTTCCGCCCTAAAAAAAGAGAAACATAAAAGAAATGAAATGTATTCTTCAATAAGTGTCTAACGCTTTCGTTTTCTATTTTACGTCTTTTGACTTTTCGGAATACAGAAACGATGAGATAGATTAAGCCGGCGTTGGAAAAGAAAAAGCGGATGTCTGTAAAATATTGGAAATAAGTAAGTCTCGTTGTTTTCAAACCATTCTGATATAGCCAATAAACTAAATTTAGTCCACAACGCCTTGGTCATTTTTTAACCTGGACTAAATTGGGTTCAGAGTACAAACCAAAGAACCGAATTGAGTCTGAATTTGGTGATTCAACAAGCCTGGTAAAACCCACACATGATAGGGTCTGGGGGGTGTGTGTGTACGTAGACCTTACCCTAATTGCATGTCCGAGGACCACATTGAGTAAAAAAAGGGAAAAAACTAAGGAGCAGATTGTTTCATGGGGTATAGTCGAGGGACTAAACCGAGTACTAACTCTTAACAAACACTGTGTAAACCCAAGAAAACAACAGTGGAATACATACTTGTAGGTTTCCATGTACTCCTCTGCACTTGCATCGATGGCCTTGAAGAATGCATCCACCCCAGCACCTGAAACCGCAGAGACTCCGACAGATTTGAGATTCTTGTAGAACTCTTCCAGTGAAAGGGATAGGCTTCGTGTCAAGGTCGAAGTGTAAGAGCTGTCTGAGTCAAGTGTTGCATGAAATACTTCAAAATCCTCCATCCACTGCACTCACATAATGAGATAAAACATAGTCACTGAAAAAACTTCAAAGAAAATAGTACAAAACTAATCAAGACCGTTATGTAGCAACTTCACCTTGCACGGGGGTTACTACAGTCTACAGGGGATCCAAACCCCATCTAGAACGCACACATAGTAAATCCATTAGGATTCATATCCCATGGTCATCCATTAAAAATCAAAGTTTACTATACCTCCAAAGCAAATTGATGATGTGCTACATCTGTTTTGTTGAAAGCCAATACAAGAGGCAGTCGTGTCTTGTACAGGATACTGCATGCATAAAGCATGTTACTCATAAAAGTAGCTGGATTTGAAGAACGTGGTGTGTCGACCACATATGTAACCACAGTGGGAAAGGTAGATGCAAAAGCTTCTGTGATAATTGCACCAGAAGCAGACCATGTGAAAATCTCTATCTGGCCAGGTGTGTCAACGAGAACATAGTCCAGTTCATCTGCCCGTTTCTCTATAGTTGATATTACCTGAAATTTTGTTTGACACATAATCTTCTACTTTTCTAAAGAATAACAAGGTGGAAGAGCAACTTTCACAAGCTCTTAGGGTCTGTTTGGGTAGAAAAAGCTAGAAAAAACAATACGGAGTAAAATATTGGAAATATTGTGATGCAAATAAATGTAAAGGAAAAAAACTGTTCCAAATTAAGCTTATCAATTTTAGATACGAGTTTCAACTCTTTTTGTTTAGACATAACTCTATGTATACATCCAAAATGGATAATCATTTCTCAATTTGTGCACAAAAAAGTAGTGGACTATCTTTGTGGGACATTATGCTATCGGTCCTAACTTCAGTCCATGTATAAATAGCTGATAAACCATCTTATACGAGAAAAGCATACAAAAGGGAAAAGAAACAAAAAACGACCCCCAAAAAAGAGTACAAAAAGGCATGAGGCCCAAACAACATGGCAAGGAAAATGGTGAGACTTGCTCAAAGCAATATGGCCAAAAAATCAAGAAAGGAAGGAAAAGCTTCACCTCATCAAACTTCGTAGCAAACAAGTTCAGGGAAGTAAGGATTCCTCCATTAGGACCAAGATTGAATTGCTTCATCACCTCCTTGTAGCGAACAGTGTCTCTTATGTCAATATTTGCTCCAAATGGAAGGGTCATCACAGCGGGGTCAAGGTTCATTACATAACCACGAATATTAGAAGCCATTGTGTGACAAACAAGGCGGTGGAGAAATGTAGTTTTTCCACTACCTGGTTATCAATTGTTTTCTTAGATTCCTTAAATATTACATGGAAATCAAGATGGAACTACAGACATTTCTAGTCATTGTACAGTATGAGTATAAAATAGAGAATATAGATAAGCTGTAGCGAATGTCCAACCTATGGACAACATTTCTCTTGTCATAGATATATCTACCCCTTGGTGTTAATATTACCTGCCATTCCTACCACAATGATGATAACAGGCTTCCGGTTAAAATTTGATGGCTTCTCGATTTGAAGATTTTCCATTGAAGTGGAAATGTCGACCTTCTCCTTTCCCTAAAGTACGGAAGAGGGTTAAAAAGTTGCATATAGTAGAAAATAAATATTTTGAGAAAATTAAAAAGGGAAGATGTAAAGAAACATAATTCTTGTACCCTGCTTTCAGTTTCCATGGTAACCTCATCCTCTTCAGGTGCTTTAGAATCAATGTCCATATTTTGGAATTAGGAGTAAAATAGAGTTTCTTTTGCCTAAATAGAAGAGAAGCAAATGATCATAGTCATCCTACGCACATTCAGAAAAAAATATGAAATGAACTAAGAGCAAAAAAAACATGATAATGTATGTGAAACACCCAGGGTATATCCAACGTGAGGTATATGTAAGCCCCAAAACAAATCCAAATGAAAAGTTATTCCATTAAGCAACTTATAAGCGCTAAGCTCAAACTACAGAAATTGTTTTTGGTGGTTTTTGTGCATGTCCTTCACCCTGCACAAGAAATCAGGAACCCTAGAAGCAGATGATTCAAGTCCAAGAACTCAATTCTTCACTTCGTCTATTTTTCCTTTTTTTTGTAAATTAAATTTTAAAAAACGAATCTTCTTCAAATTGAAGAAGAAGAGGAGAGCCATGAGCTTCAAAGAGAGAGGTAGCTGTTACTGAACGGAGGAAAACAAAATAAAGGTTTCGGAATAGCTATTTCAGATAAGCAATTCGTATGGAATATCAAATGAACTGATGATGATCATACATTCTAGCTCCCAAAAAAATCTCAGTTCACATGCATATCTTGCATCTACATATTTCATATATGAGCCATGCCCTTCAACACACTGCAATTACTGTAAACTTTAGAATCGCGATGAATGTTTTTTCGGGAAAAACAAACCTTGCAAATGTTTAGAGTTCGAACAGAGAACAGGATCCGGGGAGGGTTGAAGGCGTGCCGGAATCGACGGTACCGCCGAAGGTGTGTCGGAGTTAGGCGGCGCTGGTAGGCGGCGACGGCGACGGCTGAGGAAGTGCGGCGACAGGCTAGAGAACGCAAATGTGAGACTTGTGACTTTAGTTCCAGTAAAAATATAAAACCCTGGAATCTGTATTAATTTTCAACGGTATTAATTCTTTCATAGTCGATCCATGGATTAATACATAAAATTATTATCCATAGTGGACTTTGTAAAAAAAATCAATTATG